TTCCTAGGATGGCTGGCGTTGTCATGGCAACGACAGCCTGGGGGGGGCTCTGACTTTGCATCTCCAGCCCCCTCCCCCTCCCCCCTTCAGCTCCCCTTTTCCAAATCTCCCCGTTCCCATGGCAACAGATTCTCCAAATATCTGTCCCCACCTGGAGCCGGCCGAGGGAGGGGCCCCCGGCACCACCTCCGCGGTGGCCCCACCATCAGCATTCCCTCCCCACCACAGGCTGTGTCTCTGCCACACCCCCCGCCCCGGGCTCCCCCGCGCCTCCCTGGGGACCAGAGAACACGTGTGTCAAGCAGTCTCAGCTGTGGGGACCCAGCCTCCACCCTCCTGAGGGTCCCGGGAGTCCAGCTCCCAGCCCTTACCTTGACATTGCAGGCCCTGTTTTCCGATACCCCTGCAAAGAGTCACAGATCGGAGGTCAGTGCCCAAAGGGGTAGCCCCTGGTCTCCACGAGCCCCAGAAGGCCTGCGTCCTCTGACCCTCCACTCCTAGCACCTGAGCATCTGAGTCCCAGCTGCCTCCTCTTTCTAGAACCCAGAAAATGTGGCCCCCAGCCCTCCTTCTCTCAGACCCCAGCCTCCTGGACCCCAGACACCTCCTCCCTTAGACCCTGGAATCCAGGACCGCAGTCCCCCAGCCTCCTCCTCCTTCAGACCCTGGGAGTCCAGGACCGCAGTCCCTCAGCCTCCTTCCCCCTGACACCCTGGAGTCTGGGACCTCAGTCCTCAGCCCCCTCCCTCAGACCAGGAATCCAGGATCTCAGTCTTCAGCCTCCTCCTCCCTCAGACCCTGGGAGCCCAGGACCTCAATCCTCAGCCCTCTCTTCCCTCAGACACTGGAAAGCAGACAGGAGCCCAAGACCTCAATCCTCAGCCCTCTCTTTCCTCAGACACTGGAAAGCAGACACCCAGCTTCCTCTTCCTTCAGACCCTGGAGTCTGAGACTTCAGTCCTCAGCCTCCTCCTTCAGACCCTTGGAGTCCAGGACCTCGGTCCTCAGTCCCCTCCTCCCTCAGACCCAGGAATCCAGGACCTCAGTCTTCAGCCTCCTCCTCCCTCACACCCAGGGCTCCTAGACCCCAGCCTCTTCCTCCCTCAGACCCAGGAGTCCAGGCTCCCAGCGTCCCCCTAGTCCTAGAGCTGAAGAGTCAAGGCCACAGCCCTGTCCCCTCCTGGGGGTCTGGCGTGACAGGAGCCCGTCCCCCTCCCCCCCCAGCCCCAGCCCCCTTCCCTCACCAGATGAAGTCTGTGCAGTGGCTGCAGAAGGTTGGCTGCTTGAAGAAGCGAGCGGTGAACTTGTGGCTCTTGACTTCGTGGACCACCTTCTGCCTCAGGGCCCCCTTTCTGCAAAACAGGGGCCGGGGTCCCCCCTCCGCATCGCCCCCTCCGGGGCCCAGGCCCGCCATGGCCCCAGGCGCGTCGCGGGGACCAGGATCCTGCCCTTCTGGGGAAACAGGTGGACGGGCGAGGAGCCGGAGCCTCGGGAGGGATGCTGAAGTGGGCCGGAGAGGGG